CTCCGTCTTCCAGACTGGAGTGCAGTGGCATGATCACAGCTTATTGCTTACTGCAGCCTAGTCCTCCAGGGCTTACCTGATCCTCCCACCTCAGCCTCCTGAGTGGCTGGTACTACAGCATGCAACACCATGCCCAGCTAAGTTTTAAAAATTTTTCATAGAGATGGGTTCTCGCTATGTTGCCCAGGCTGGTCTTGAATTCCTGGGCTCAGGTGATCCTCCCACTTCAGCCTCTTGAAGTGCTGAAATTATAGGCATGAGCCACCAGACTTGCTTTCTTTAATAAAACAGAGCTCTCAAAAAATGGATCTCCCCCATTTCATGAGAAAATTGAAACATTCCACTGAAGAAGAATTGACAGAAAAGTAAACATAGCTACTTTTTGTAATCAGAAAACTTGCTGATGTATGCTCTTATTCCAAATCCCTGGATGATGTCATTACGTCAACAATCCTTTAGGATTCCTCAACCCAGACATAAAATAACAATCACAGCACTAGCATATCCAAAAATGGTATTGCTTTATTTTTAAAAACTATATTTCCACATTTTTTTGGAAAATCAATTGAATCAATTTTATTCTCACAACAATCCTGTGAGTAGACATTATTAAAACTATATATTTGTTGAGGAAACAGATTAAAAGCTTTAAACATGTGATTCATTTAAAATCAAATAGTGAATACATGATAGAGTCAGCACTAAAAAGGCAGATATATCAAAGAGAGACTGAAATAAGCAACTCATTTTTGGTATCAACTTCGAAACACCTCTTTACCACCAGTGTTTACATTAATCATTCTTGATCTTTATACTTCACATTTCTTGGTAATCCAAATGCTTCATAAATGATCTTACACATCCTGAATCTCTCGCTTCATTCAATGAGATAATTCACGGTGAGCAGGAATGCATATGGTTTTCAGATGTAGAAACTGGGATGTCCAGAGACAAACAAGTTGGCCATGGCAATGGGATACAAGAATCTTAGAGGATGTTACAAAACTGATTTGAAGTTTTGTCCTAATATGGAAAGGTATGCCTTTTCTCACTAGTGAGATTATTCTAGAATTTTAGAACCATACCAATATATTTCACAGTAACCTAGTGATCTGGATTGCCCCTCTCTGAGAAAGCAAATATTCTGCAAGCAATTGTCATACAAATCAAATTCCTGGCTTTTACAAATTGCTTCTTTTTTGAATTCCAAAATTTAACTCATTCTTTTCTATCTATTCTTCATTTCCTCATAAGTGAACACTCATCAATTTCCCCATTTTCCAACCCTTTACTTTTCATATTCTACGTGGCCACAGACAGTAACAATTCACTAGCACAGTGGTTCTCAGAATCACCTGGTAAGTCTTGTAAAAACACAAATTGCTGGACCCCATGAACTCTCCAAGTTTCAGATTCAGTTGGTCTAAAGTAGAGCCTAACAGTTGGAATTTCTAACAAATTCTCAGGTGATGTTGATGCTATAGGTCTGAGTAGCACATTTTGAAAATCACTTCACTAGTACATCCCCGATGTGTTGTCTTCATGGATCCTTCCAGAAAAGTGTTCAGATGCCAAGGCTCATGAATCGCACACATGGTACCCAATGCCTGGGCCTCACATTGAAGGCTTCTATATGGAGAAGAAAAGAAATATTTGTCATGACTCATTGCCTTTTTCAAGCTGTTCCAGCTACAAAATTAAAACCAGAAAAGGGGACTCAATTGAAACTAAAATAAAAACAGCTCAAGTAACACTGTCCAAATTTTGAGATTTATGGCATGATTTCTGGAATTAGGACAAAAGGTATACTAGTGATTCAGGTAAGTCCTGGGCTGACCACACTGTAAGCTGGCATTTCCAAGGCTCCCAGCATACCCTGGAACCCAAGCCATGTTGTTCCTGCACTACCCCAGAAGCTAGCTCAGGTCCTTGGCTGGTGGCTTGCTTTTTCTGTCAACAGTAAGTTCTTCCATATAGCTCTCCAAACACATTAGCAACTTAGAACTCTTTTAATTAACTAATTTTTCTACAACTTCTCAGCTATTTTTAACACAGAAAAAAATGTCAATTGTCAAGAAATAAATGCTGTTGGGCCATCAAGCAGGTAGGCTGTAAATCTGAACCAAGAACCTAGCCAATGAATTTCCTTAGGATTTCTTCCTTTTGTAATAGCAACCCTCGGTGGGGATTTTAATTCCATTTTTCATATATTTGGGGAAAAAAATAAGGCATTTTATGTCATAGTATAAAATTCTTCAGCATTCCATTTTAGTTATTAAATAATGACTAGTATTTGAAACAGCACTGTTACATTAAATAAAAAACAATTGGCAAGCAATGTCAACTTAGACATTTCATAAGATATGTAATAAGATAATATTTCTGCTTAGAAAATAAGGTGTTAGATCTACCTTTAACATGTCAATATATTGTAGGAAATACTGACCTTTTATTCTGATCACCACGATTCCGTTAAATTTCAAAATGTGGGACAGCCAATGCATGATATACTACTAAGTAATAAATCTATGTCATCCAAAGGGAGTTTTGCTGTCTGAGCCCAAAACGGAGAAAACAGAAGCATAATGGTAAGGTTACTGAACACCCAGGTCTTGAAATAAGTCATTCTGTATGAGCATGAGTCACCAAAACTACTTCCTTAGTGATAAAAGTTGCCTAAGTAACATCGATGCCTCCCTGTGCTAAGAAGGATATGGGCAGTGTGTTGGGTTTCAAACCCACTAGTCATAGTCATTTCCTTTACTTAATTGCTAACTGTCCTTCCCAGCTGCAGTCTGGGGCCTGTGTTTTAGGTAGTAACCCAGCAACTAGTTATTATGCTATATTTTATCAAGGAGAACAAAACAGTAAACTTTGCATTTCCATGGATTTCAGAGTAAAAGTCAATGTTATTTCACCAAGGCCCTCTGACTTAAGGGAGTTATTGTGAAACTATTCAACTAGGTCTCAATGTGGCCACATCATTATGCAAGACTTAAAGGCAAAATGATTTAACAGAGAAAAGAGGAGCAGATTGGGAGCCCTCTGAGAGGAAGGGAGTGGTGGTATTCATTTCTGTGTCCCTAGCACCTAGCAGGGAGCCGGTGACTCAAAATACAGGCCCAGCAGTCACGGTGGCTCATGCCTGTAATCCCAGCACTTTGGGTAGGCCAAGGAGGGATTACTTGAGCTCGGGAGTTTGAGACTAGCCTGGGCAACACAGCAAAACTCTGTCTCTACAAAATACAAAAAAAAAAAAAAAAATTATCTGGGCATGGTGGCATGTGCCTGTAGTCCCAGCTACTCAAGAGGCTGAGGTAAGAGGATTGCCTGAGCTCAGGAGCTCCAGGCTACAGTGAGCTGTGACAGAGTCACTGTATCCTAGCCTGGGTGATATTGCAAGATCCTGTCTCAGAAAAAAAATAAAATAAAAAGACTCAAAATACATCCACCAAATGGGGTTTGCTTGTTCTTTTCAAAATAATCCAATCTATGAAGTAATTGTGCCACTGCTGAGTTAGGATTTCATCAGGCTTTGTTGTTATTGTTGTTGTTGTTGCTGTTAAGATGGAGTTTTGCTCTTGTTGCCCAGGCTAGAGAGCAGTGGTGCGATCTCAGCTCACTGCAACCTCCGCCTTCTTGTTTCAAGCGACTCTCCTGCCTCAGCCTCCCCAGTAACTGAGATTACAGGTGCCTGCTACCACACCCGGCTGATTTTTGTATTTTTAGTAGAGACGGGGTTTCACCATGTTAGCCAGACTGGTCTCAAACACCTGACCTCGTGATCCACTCACCTCAGCCTCCCAAAGTGCTAGGATTACAGGTATGAGCCATTCATTAGACTTTTTAACGTATATATGCCTTCTTTTTCCCTTATATTTACCATGGGACTGTGGTATTTGCTGCTGTTCCCTTTGCAGATATGTGAAGTACATTAAGTATGCTCTATTTTAAAATAAATCTGGTGTTGATGAGCACTACTTAGGAAAATCTGATATACAAAAGCAATGAGATTAGTATTGCACGAGAACATTTAAAAACTGGATAGTAAGCACATATGTATTACCAGTAACGCTGTCTGGATTTGGCCTTGAGAATTCTGGCTGCCCATAATTCCCTGAGCCTCCTCTCATTTCCAAACACTCCCCCATAATTCTTGGATTGCACAGTAGTACTACCATGAAGGACTAAAATGTTAATAAATCTCCCTAAAAATCAAACTAATAGTAAGTATAGGGAGAAGTTGTTTTTAACTGGTATAAGTAATGTGTTCCAAAAATGTGGTTTTCTTTCTTTTCTACTAGCAAATGGGGCAAAGCATTTTTATTCACTTAATTGTATGCAAGATTCAAATGCCATAATTATCCATTCATTCGGGTGGGTTGAGTCAGAATTAAGAAATGAGATCTCCACAGAAAACCCCTAAAACTGTCTATGGACTTCTTGATGATTCATTAAGGGCACCATATTCTCTGAATCAAAATGGGTCCTGTTGCTGCATCAGAACAGGAAAAAAGTAGACCAAAGAGACAAACATCATGATAACAATGCTAAAGAGATCTGGGGACGTCTCCAGTGGTAGTACAAAATTACCACGGCATATAAAGTACCACAGTACGGGTGAGGTTTAGAGTGTGGAGACTGGAGCCAGAAGTCCTGTGTTCGGGTCTACCACTTCGTGGCTGGATAAACTTGAGCAAGCTACTTACCTTCTCTGTGCCTCAGTTTCTTCATATGTCAAACTGGGCTGTCATGAGGATTAAATAAGTTGACCCATGGACAGTACATAATGATTGCTTTCATATGTCGTAGGCACTCAATATATGAAAGCAATCATTATGGTTACCATTAACCTTTCTCTCCAGGTCAGACTCCAGTTTTAGCAATGATATCAGAGTTTGCCTGGCGATCATCATTTTGGGTTCACTCAGGGACCTAGTATTGGTCAAGGACTGAGAAAGCCATTCTAGAGTTGGCAAAAGAAAAACCCTGGCCTAGTGTGGTGGCTCACGCCTGTAACTACAAAATTTTGGGAGGCCGAGGTGGGTGGATCATTGGAGGTTAGGAGTTTGAGACTAGCCTGGCCAACATGGTGAAACCCCATCTCTACTAAAAATACAACATTAGCCGGGCATAGTGGTAGGCGCTTGTAATCCCAGCTACTCAGGAGGCTGAGGCAGGAGAATCGCTTGAACCTGGGAGGCGGAGGTTGGAGCCGAGATAGTGCCACTGCACTCCAGCCTGGGCAACAGAGTGAGACTCTGTCTTAAAAAGAAATAAAAAAAAAAGAAAAAGAAAAACCCTGATCAAACACATAAATATCTCTGCAGTGTGTTCTATCACACCTGTCTGAAGTTCTACAGATGCCATTTGAGTAAATTACAATATTGTATTGGAACAATTTCTCATAATTTATGTTACAAAGAACATGTACTTAATCTATATTAAGCTTGAGTACCCCAGAATTTTTTGTCCATATGCCACATATCCATATGAGTCACATTAGAGAACATATTTCTAGTACTTAGTTAATTAGAAATACAAAACCTTATTCAGTGGTTTAGAAATCGTCATGGTAGAATTATGAAGAGGGCTGCCAAATCCTTTATTCTGCTACAGTTAACTCTGAATGGTCTTTCTTTACTTATATCTCATTGTAATGTTAATGAATTTGCTTATCTTTTCATCCTTGCATATTGTCATTATGTCATTTTATATTTCTTTCCATTTGCTACATGGCTTCATTTAGGGTTACTTTGTGTTATTTTTTTTCTAGAATTTGTCTTTGATTTCCATTTCCAACCTCTGCAAATCATACTGATCTTTGTCACCATATACAAAAACCAAAGCCTGAGAGGTTTATTTTAAACTGAGTTGATCAAACATATTCACAATTAAATATAACATTTAATATACTGAAGAAAATCATTTCACTGGCTGAGCGAATGTGATATGCCAGAGTTGAAGCATCTCCCAATTGTCCATTTTTGGAAATATCAGTCAATTCGTTAATCAGTTTTGAAATATGTAAGATGGAGTTCCATTATATTTCACAGATTTATAGGAAAGAGATTATGACTATATAGATGGTCAATAATCCCCTTCCAATGTCACAGGTTACCACAAAGGCAAATAAAAATTTATATTAAAAATTTCTCTGTTCTTTAAAAGAAAATTAGTCAACTGATATGCACATCAATGGTAGACTGGTTAAGGAAAATGTGGTACATATACACCATAGAATACAATGCAACCATGAAAAAGAATGACCATGAAAAAGAATGACATCTGCCAGGCACAATGGCTCACACCTGTAATCCCAGCACTTTGAGAGGCCGAGGTGGGTGGATCACCTGAGGTAAGGAGTTCGAGACCAGCCTGGTCAACATGATGAAACCCCATCACTACTAAAATACAAAAATTAGCCAGG